CGGGGAGGCTGAGCTGTCGGGAGCTGCCCGGGGCTGTGCGTGGTCTCGTGGTGGTGCCGCTGGTGTGGGGCCGTGCTCTGCCCCGCGGCCGGGCAGGGCTGTGCGTTGGGGCAGGAGGGCGGCGGGAGGAGAGGTCGGTTTTCCTGCCTTTCCCTTCCCTTTCCTTCCCTTCCCTTCGTCCTTTCCCTGGGCCTCGGTTGCCGCAGACTGACTCTGTCTCCTCCTTTCTCTCCTGCCGCGCTCAGTGGAGGATCATGATGATGTGTTTGTTAAAAAGCCCAGGTAAGGGGAGCGTGCGCCAGGGGGGAAGCAGGAGCTATGGGGCTGCACGTCCCAGGCAGGACCCGCTGGTCATTGCTGGCACCGAGCTGGGGATGCCGAGCTGCGCCGTGGTGTCCTGGACACAGTGGCTCAGGGGCGGCTGGTGGCACTGGCATGATGATGTGTTTGTTAAAAAGCCCAGGTAAGGGGAGCGTGCGCCAGGGCGGCAGCAGGAGCTATGGGGCTGCACGTCCCAGGCAGGACCCGCTGGTCATTGCTGGCACCGAGCTGGGGATGCCGAGCTGCGCCGTGGTGTCCTGGACACAGTGGCTCAGGGGCGGCTGGTGGCACTGGCAGCACCTTGCTGGGGGTGTTGTGATGTTTGGGCCGTGCCTGGACCTGGGGGGCGATGTCCCGTCAGCCTGGCGTGGGGCTGCGGGGCGGCCGGGCAGAGCTGGGTGAGCGTCGCCGACTTCTCCCTGCGTGGTGGCAGGGAAGGGAGCCAGGGCTGGGGCGATGCCGTTCCTCGCCCTGTGCAGCTGGGCAGGGCTGGTGCGCAGTGCCCATTTTTTTGCCTTCGCCTGTCCGTGACGCCTCCTCCCCTGGCTCCGTGACCGTTGGGTCCCAGCTCTGCCCGGTGTGCTCTCTCGCAAATAAATGCTTCTGGTTTTGTAGCCATCTCCTTGTCTTTGCCCTGGAGAGGCACAGAGCCGCCGGCTCTCCCTCTGGCCCTGTCCCCTCTCTCGATGCGGCCGTGCCTCTCTGGCCCTGGTTTCCCTGCCTGCTCCCAAGCCCAGTGCTGGCAGCCTGCCTGGTCTCTGCTGGAGCTGGACCCTGGGGCTCCCTGCGTCGGGTCAGGTCCAAGCCCCTCCGAGGCTCGGGGCGACCGTCGTGTGTGAGCGGGCAGCCGGGGTGTGTGTGGTCCCCGGGGTCCCTGGTCAGTCTGGAGCTTCCCAGAGCTGGGTGTGGGACCCCAGCAGGCCTGCGCTGCCTCCCACCGCTCCCCAGACCACCACGATGGGTGCCAGAGACCAGGGGTGATGAAGGCACTTAGCTTGGTACCAAAACAGCTACCAGCTGGGCACGGGGGCTTGGCCGGCTCCTGCCTGCTTGTTGGGGTGGGGGGCCCTGCCTGCACACACAGGCCCGCCAGGCAGAGGGGGCGAGTGGGACAGGCTGGATTAACTGCCGGTTCTGTAGCCAGGTCTCTGTGCCGGACCCGTCCCCGGGAGCAGCGATGAAGACGGAGCCGGGACTGGGTGAGCAAAACATTTCCTCTGGGCTTGGGGGAGAGAGGTGGGGTTGCCCGGGGATGCTGCTGGCCCAGCCCCGGGCGCTGGGAGGGGGCTGCTGAGGGATCAGGAGCACCGTCCTGGAGACTTGCGTGTGCGTGCAGCCCCCAGGACCCCTGCCGCCACCCCCGGCCCTGCCAGCCGCCCGCCCTGGGCCGTGGACCCCTCCTTCGCTGAGCGCTACGCCCCGGACAAGACGAGCACGGTGGTGAGCAAGCACAGCCAGCCAGCCACGCCGACCCCCATGCAGAACCGCAGCTCCATCGTGCAGGCGGCGCAGCAAGCCCCCGAGGGGCCCGGCCGCACGCCCCTCTGCTACAAGTGCAACAAGGTCATCAGGTGAGCCCTGGCCACCACCGCCGCCACGCCAGCGTCCTGGGCCCCGGCGTGGCTGACGTGGCTCTGTCCTGCTGCAGGGGACGCTACCTGGTGGCGCTGGGACATTATTACCACCCCGAGGAGTTCACCTGCTGCCAGTGCAGGAAGGTGCTGGATGAGGGCGGCTTTTTTGAGGAGAAAGGCTCCATCTTCTGCCCCAAGTGCTACGACACGCGCTACGCGCCCAGCTGTGCCAAGTGCAAGAAGAAGATCACCGGGGTGAGTGTCCCTCAGCCTGCCCCACGCCTCCTGTCCCTGCTCCCCCCTCACCTACGGGTCCCCAGCTCTGTCCCTTCCCATCCCGATCCCCTCCCCAGGGATCCCCCGTCCCTTTCTGCCCTGGGAGGGGGTCCCCCGCGGCGCAGGGGGGTCCAGCCCGCGGCTGACAGCGGTTCCCCTCCAGGAGGTCATGCATGCGCTGAAGATGACCTGGCACGTGCAGTGCTTCACCTGCGCTGCCTGCAAAACTCCCATCCGCAACCGTGCCTTCTACATGGAGGAGGGACAGCCCTACTGCGAGAGAGGTAGGACCTGGGGACCCCACGTGCCACCCCGCGCGGCCCTGGGGCACCGGGCACTGTCGGGGCTCAGCACCGGCCCACGGGGGTGGGGGGTGAGCTGCCCTGTGCTGCGGGGCTCTCCCCAGGCCACGGGGAGGGCAGGGACCCCCCTCCCGCAGCCCTGAGCCCTCCATCCCGGTCCTCCCCGGCTGCTGGGTAGCGCCATCCCATCGCTCCCCGTGTTGCCATGGTGATGACGGAGGATGTACATCAAAGGCGAGTGCTGCATCCTGGGAGATGAGGTTTGCCTCCTCCCTGCGGCCCGGTGGTGGCCAGGGCCACCCTGCACGGCACAGGCGTCTCGCCCGGGTGTCTCGGGCATCGTCCCCCTGGGGCTGGCAGCGAGTTGTCCCAGGGGGATAGCACACACCCCGGCTGTGCTGCAGCCCTGCTCTCCCGGGATGAGGGGATGCAGTGCCGGGGAACACTGACCTGGGCTCTTGCCTCTCCTCCCAGACTACGAGAAGATGTTTGGCACCAAGTGCCGTGGCTGCGACTTCAAGATCGACGCTGGGGACCGGTTCCTGGAGGCGTTGGGATTCAGCTGGCACGACACTTGCTTCGTCTGTGCGGTGAGCCACGTGCCTCCCTCCCCGGCCACTGGCGGGGGCCCTGGCTCTCCCCGGCAGTCATGCCCTGCGTGGGGTACGCCAGCAGCATGGGGCCCCTGCTGCCACCAGGTTTTCCCCTCTTGGCTCTGCGCTGGCGGCTCGGGCCCCTGCTCTGAGCTTGCTGCTCCCTGGCATCTGTGCGATGCTGGTGCTGAGCCCTGGGTCGTGGCGGGGGGGACCCGGGGGCTGGCTCAGCGCCCCTGACCTGATCGCCTGCGCTCTCCTCCCCAGATCTGCCAGACCAACCTGGAAGGGAAGACATTCTACTCCAAGAAGGACAAGCCGCTCTGCAAGAGCCACGCTTTCTCCCATGTGTGAGGGGTGGGAGTTCGGCTGTGCCCACGCGTGCCCCTGGCCCTGCATGCTCCTCTCCCCTCCCCTGCTGCCCCCAGGGAGCCAGGCTGGGCCCTCACCCCTTCCCCTTGCTCCTACCTCTTTCCTAGCAGCTCCTTGCTCAGCTTGGTGCTGGGCCCGGAGCCCCTTATAGCTGGATGGCTTCTTCTGTGCCCCCTGGCTGGCCCTAGGAGCCCCGGGAAGGGGATGCTGCATGGGTCTCCTGTCCCCGAGCCATGCAGCGTGGCGGCCACGGCCGTGCTGAGGCTGGAGTCGGGGAGGGTCCAGCACGGCAGGGCTGCTCCCTCGCTCAGCTGGGGCCCGGCTGCCTGGCAGCTCAGCGCCGGGGCAGGGATGCTCCTAGCACATCCCTGAGGGGGTGAGGACCAGCCCCCTGCCAAGCTCTCCCCCACCTTCCCCGCTGCGTGCTTAATGCATGGGGCTGGAGACCGGGCCCCACTCCTGCCTGCGGCAACCCCCCGGCCACCCTACAACTGCGGCGGTGGCTTCCTTCCCCAGCTGCGTGCCGGGGGGGGGTCTGTCCCTTGTGTCCCCCCACCCAGCTGCTCTCCTGGGGCTGGCGTGCGGCAGCACCCCCCAGCCCGGCCGTGCCGGGAAGCAGGGCAGCGTGCCAAACCTGCCCCAGCCGCGGGCTGGCAGTGTGCTGATGGCCGGCCGGCCGGCGGGCTCCCGCAAGGCTTGGGAACGGCTTCCTACCAAAGAGTGCCTGCCACCGCTGTCCCAGGCCTGTAAATGCCTCTTCCCAAACCCACACTCTCCGGTCGGGCTGCCGCTGATGTAGCCACGGTGCTTTTAGTGCCTTTAATAAACACTTCTCTGCAAGTGCCGGCTGTCTTGGGGCCTGCGGTTTTGCCGAGCGAGGTGTGGCTGGCTGGGAAGGTCACACTCAGCCCTCGCCCCGCTCCCCGCCGGGGCCTGACTCAGCTCCCTCCAGCTTTCCGGGGGAAATCTTTGCCTCGGATTTCTCCTCCTCCGCCTGTGTCAGCCCGGACTGGACCCCTCATGTCATCCCTCTGCGTAGCAGGCAGGACCGCTAACGGAGGCGGTAATTAATCCGGGGGGCAAAGCTCCAGCAAAGGGAAAGGGGGCAGCTGTCCCACCCTGCAGTGGGGTCCCCAGCGGTGTCCCCCCCGTCCCCGCTGTGCCCGGGCCCCGAGTCCTGTGCAGGGGACGAGAAGTCACGGGGCACGTGTGGGCCACGTGCCCCGGCTCCGGGCGCGCTCTGGCGTAGAGCAGCCAAGCATTTGCTCGTGTGATGCAGCTGCCGTCCCGAAGGACGGGTTCGAGGCTGTGCCGGCACCTCCAGCTGGAACGGGCTCGGGGGCAGCGGGTGTGGGGAAGAGCTGCTCCTCCCGCTCCACTCTGGCAGCTGGAACGGTCATTAATAATTGCAGCTCTTACCATGATGAGCAATTGTAAGGAAAATTGTCTTGCTAATCTACTGGAAGGTTCTGCCGGGGGCAGGAGCTGGCTGCGGGAAGCCAAATGGCTCCCAGCATCACCCAGAGCTGGCCTGCGGCTGTGGTGCCACGTCTCCCCGGTGCCAGCTGCAGGAGCGCAAAACCCCGGTCAAAGATGGAGAGGAGTAAGTGGGAGTGATGGAGGCAGGCTGGGGCCGGGCCGGGCCCTCGGGCTGGGGCACATGCGGGCAACGGGACGGTGACACCGAGGAGCAGCAGGACACGGCTGCGAAAAGGGACAGAAACAGCCGGCGCCTGCCTGGCAGGGCCGGGACGAGCAGGGATGTGGTAAGTGCCCGAGCGCGAGTCCCAGCTGCGCGGCCAAGGTCAGGGGAAGCGCAGGAGAAGGTGAGGCGGCTGTGGCCACACGTGAACAGCCACCGAGCCAGCCCTGGCTCAGCCGGGATAGGAACTCATGAGCAGAGGGCAGGGAAGGGGCAGGGGGAGGCAGCCATGCGGGACGGAGCCTGCTGGGGTAGCATGGCCTCGGAACAGGTTGTGCCAGCTCAGCCCCGGGGTACCCGGTCTTGGAGCAGGGCCATGGAGCAGGGCCACGGCAGAGCCGCGGTGCCGCCACCAGCCTGCCTCTCCCCGAGGAAGAGCCAAGCATCTCCCCTGTGCAAGGCCTGCACCCACTGGAGGCTCAGCCCCTTCTGCTCGGCGCCCTGTTGCCTCTGGTCCCTACTGATGATGCCTTGACCACCCAAGATGCCTCCGCGTTTTGCTGCGAGCAGCTCTTGCCCACCAGCTCTGCGCATCATGCGAGGGGCTTGTGCACAGGCAGCGGAAGGAGGGTCTCGGGTGGGCTGCGGAGGTGGAGCCTGGGGAGGGGCCGCGGTCGTGCTGCTCCGAGAACAAAGCCTGGCGGCGGTGGGCTCAGAGCTCCCACCATGTCCCCAAGCGGGGTCCCACCACATCCACCCCCAAAGCCAGCTGAGCCGCTCGTGGGGCGCCCGCCGCAGCCCCGGCCCCCGCGTTGGCCCCGGCAGCTGCTCCACAGCTGCTCGCAAACTCTCACAGCCTCTTAGGGCGGCTCCGGCTCCGGCCTGGCTCGGAAACGCCGGTGCAAGGAGGGCGTGCGGCGCGGGGGGAGCAGGCAGCACAGGGGGGGCCTGCGGCACCCTGTCCCGTGTCCTGCTGAGCCTGGGGGGCTCATCCACAGGCCGCTCTGAAGGGCTTGGTTTGGGAAGGGCCACGCTGCATCAGCCCCAACCTGCGGGGATCAGGCCCTGTGCGCTCCCCGCTGCCGCTCTGGCACAGAGACCCCTTCAGCGCGGTTCTGGTCCGGGCTGCGGGCAGTGCCGGGGGTCGGGGCGGTAGGGTGGGGCAGGGTGATGCTGCCTGCCCTGGCAGGAGCGTGCGGAGCTGGCCGGGAGCCCTGGCGTAGCCCTGCACGGGTCAGGGCAAGAGGCACTTTGCGGGTTCGCGGGAGGCAAAAATCTGGGAAAAGCGCTGTGGTGCGCAGCCTGGCAGGGTCCCGAGGGGTCTGGGAGCGGCGGGGATGGGGGGGCAGGGGGGCAGCAAAGGGGCCCCCACAAAGGCTGCGCCCACCGATGCCGTGCGGCTGGGGGCGGGGGGCGGGGGCCACGG